TTTATTCTGCAACAGAAGACAGTTTGTTTCCCCTGAGGCTGCAGTGTAGCTCCAGCTTCAGCAGTTAGGAACATATTGCTGGTCTTGCTTTTCCACCAAGAGGCTGAAAGTGTTACTAGGAGATTACCCTGTGTAACCAAAGAACTTATAAATATTTTCTGTTTAAAAACTACTGTTTTTAAATGCATATTTCATTTAAATTAATTCTGTGTACTTGCACAGAATTGTGGATGTTATAATTTATTAACTCATTTGAATAATATGCTGTCTGTGTTTTGCACAGGTTACATTATATATTTATATATATATGAATATATATATTCATATAATATATATATGAATATATATATATATATATATTTATATATATATATATTTTGGGTACTTCTCTTTGTAAGAGAAACTTTTGTTGCTACTACTGTTTTTATTATTATTTGCTTCTCTTGGTACCTTGTTTTTTACTTTTCACTTACTTATTTGCCTTTCTTTAATTGCAGAAAAGGCAGTATTCTTTGAGCATTGCTGCTGTTTGCTTCATTACTGCATTCTGGCTATTTCTTCAGTGCTGCATGAAAAGAATAGCTTGGAGACAGTACTGCAGTGGTTAGCATTTGAGACTGAAAAGATGACCTTAAGAATTTAAAATGATTAGAGATATAAAATCACAATAACTTGCTTTTTCAGGAAATAGAAACCCTGCAGGGAAGAGTGATCTGTCATATATCTTAAGGGGTTAGTTGCCTGTACAATTTTACACAGGAATTTTTTGCCTGTACAGAACCCTTTGTGCCTCATTATACCTACTGTGTATATTTTGCTTTTAAAACATTATAGTTAAGACATTAATTCTCATACTTTTTGGCATATTGGAAGATTGTTAGTTGCAGTAGACATGCTGATCCACATATACTTTGTGTGTGGGGGGAGGGAGTTGAGGGTTGGGGAAGAAGTTAGATCATATGAAACCAACTACTTTCAGCATTTGTTGAATTCAGTAGAGGAAGGAAAAAGAAGCTGGTTCAAGTTTTGTATATTTTTTAAACTAATGCAATTTGAACTAAAGTTGTCTCTGTGTGTGAAATTGTTTTCTAATGGTAAAAGGTAATTTCAAAATTAATTACCTGCTTTCTGAAGAATCAAAGCAGAAATGCCATTGTTGCCCTAGGACTCAAATGTGCAAGGCTGTAAGCACGCGATGCACTCGTTGCCCTCAGAACCCACTGCAGTGAGTGAGAGTAAAGGGTGCTAAGCACATTGTAGGAGCTATTCAATCTCTCAGTTGTAGGATTGTGCCTGTTTTGCAACATAGACCTATGGCAGTATAATTAGGGGTGGGCGAGCCCTGTGCACTGATTTGGAGGGGTACAAAACTGGTGACTGCTGCTGGTGTCTGCCTGATCAGCACTGCTGCCATGGCCGCTGCCACTGATTGCTCAGGAGGCAAACATTGCTTGTTATACCTCACCAGACCTATAATAAATTTGTTGTTTTTTATGTCATTGCAGTACACAGGTGTCATTGACAGAATTAAGTCCTGTTTCTTACTTTAGTAGAATGGGCCATATTCTGACAAGCTTACTTTTGTTGGGCAACATAGTAATTTCACATTCTGCCCAAGATGAGCAGTGATATGCAATTGCATTGGTGCAGGAGAGGACCAAAGAACAAATTGTGAGGAGTCATAGCTTTTCTTTTGCTCCCTTTTCTCAAGGTGTAAGACTAATGACCTGCTTCTGGCATCAGCACACTTAAAAAGTAGACCTCCTTTTTCAGGAAGGTGGTTCAGATAGATAGGGTTAGTCACCTTGGATCCCTGGATAGTGAATAGGGAATGTTAGGCTCTGAGAAGAGAAAAGCCTAGAGCTAGCTAGTAGGAAACACAAAGCATGGAGGTATCTGAACTCTTGAACACTCTTCAAAGCTTAGGGTTTGCACATTAGGCACTTCTATTCAGTATGGATCCAGGACATCTAGTCCTCTGAAGGTAGACAGGATCATGGTCATGGTGCCCGCCTTGTGCACAGTAATTAATTAGGATCAGAGCACAGTACTTAATTAGGATCAGAGCACTTACCTAGGAAATAGAAGACTTGAGGTCTAGGCTGGGGTGGTCAAAATGGCAGATCCAGTGGGCACCTGGACTCCATTTCCCAGAACCCCCTGACCCTGTTGCTAGGCCAGTTTCCATAGAGACCCCAGGAGTGGCAGCACTGTGACAGAATGGGGCCAGGGTTTCCATGGAGACCGGCCCCAGTAGTGCTGGCATGGCCCGGACCTGGGCAGGGAGCTGCTCTGGGGCCAGGGCTGGGATCTTGCAGTGGTGACAGCATGGTTTGGAGCCGGGGCAGAGCTGCAACCTACCTGGGGCTTGTGGGCAGTGGATCACATTTGTGCCCTGGCTCCAGACCATGCTGTCACCACTGCAAGATCCCAGCCCTGGCCACAGAGCAGCTTCCTGTCCAGCTGTGCGCCTTGCCAGTGCAGCTAGGGCTGGTCTCCATGGAAACCTTGGCCCCGTGCTGTTGTGGCGCTGCCAGTCCTGGGGTTTCCATGGAAAAAGGCGATGGTGACATGGGTTGGGGCTGCTGGGAAATGGAGTCCTCTGAGAGCCCAATCTGGCTTGCAGGCCATATTTGCCCACCCATGATCTAGGCCCTAGGTCAGGGGCATGCAGTTATTTTGGGTGGAGGGCTGCTTACTGAGTTTTGGCAAGCCATCGAGGACTGCATGACAGGCAGCCCAGGGCAGGTTAATATTAATTTTCTAAATGATTTTAGGGGCCCCGCGGGCCAAATAGAATGGCTTGGCAGGTCGCATCCAACCTACAGGCCACGTTTTGCCCACCCCTGCCCTAGGCTGTCCCCAGTCCTCAGAGATTCTGACTCAATCTCCTACTTTCCAAGAGAGGGCTCTAAATGTCAGGATACAGGATTGTCTGGGTGGAGGCACACTCCACTGCTCATGCTGTAGCTTGGCTACTGCAAAGCCAAGAATGCACCAGTCATGGGAACAGGAGAGCATGCAATGTTGAGTATTACTTTATAGCCTAGTGATATGGGCCCTCCTCTGTGGGGAAAGTTTTGCATTCTGGTCCCTTTGTTACTAATGCCTGAGACTGTCATTGGATTAATAACAGAATAACCCTAACAGCGGGTATTGAACGGGTATTGGTACCACTTTTTCTCTCTTCCTCTGTGGTGATTACTCTCATCACCACATTTTTTTAATTAAAGAAATTATGGGTGTTCAGTTTTGTATGAAATTTAATTTTGTCACTATGTTTTAAGTATTCTTGGAGGAAATGTAATGGATCAGGCCTCTTTGAGGACTTAGGTAGAAGTTAGCTCTACTACTCTATTTCTCGTCACTGAAGAAGTGAGAGTTAAGAAACCTAGGTGCTCAGACTGGGATGCTTCTGGACTTACATTTGGTTTCCTAAAACACATCTACACAAGACATTTACTGTGGAGATGCCCAGTTAACTGTGCAGTAAATGTCTCAGCATCTACATATGAAGCCCTATTAGGTCTCTGTAAACTAATAAACTCCACAGCAGGGTAGTGCTTGCAAATACAAGTACTACCCTGCTGCAAAATTTTTTAATGTTGACCCAGCTGGTGGGGGCACAAGGGTGCTTCAGTGCAGGGGCTTCCTGCCTGCCAGCCCCAGCCAGCCCCTTTGCATGTTGAGCTGGGCAGAAACAGCCCTGGGGTGGCAGGCTTATCCTCATGGCCCCTTGCCAACTGGGCCTGATCTGACCTAGCTCAACATGCTGCGATCCTGGGCGCACATTCAAGCAATGTGCCTAGGAGCAATAAACTCTGATAAGCACTGGAGTTTATTGCTTTGCATTAATTGCACATGTAGATGTACCCCTAGCAACTTGTTTAAGGCCAGAGTATACATGCCAAATGAATTTAGGCACCTAAGGGTTTTTGAAGTTGATGAAGCAAAAATATTCAGAATCCCTGGTGATTTTGGTATCTAAATTTCATCTAAATCCCATATAAGCACCTAGTTTATCAGTTTGGATCTAATCCTAAATTACTTCATCCTATTTTATGGAGCTGCTTAAGTCTTCTTGTGTGCAAGTAGCTTCTTATTTCCCTCACTTTTGAGTAAGAGTAACGATCCTGGCTGGTTAAGTCAGATCTGAAATGGCACTTAAATCTTTCTGGAATAGCCCACAATCTGATCTTTGTGGACAGTCTCATTGACAGCCATAAGAGTACCTTCAGGGAAAGGTACTCCTTAGCATGAATAAGGGTGACCAAGTTACCAAATTGTGTATAGTGTGACTCCTAAGGATCATTAAATTCTGAAAGCCCCATTCCACACAGAGGTTTTTTTGTATATACCATATGTCATTCCTGTTCTGGTCGCTAGAGAATTAAATATATTCATTGCACCTTCCTTCCCTGCTCTGCTAATATGAAACAACTCCAGCTTTGTATTAAGGGTTGTTACAGGGTTTGAGGTATGTGATTATTAATGCTGCAAAGAGGAAATCTAGTATTGCTTTTCCCTGTTGCACAATGAAATGAAGTTGGAAATGTATGAACTGTCTTAGTTTCCAGCCCGTGAATATACACTTATAATATTTCTGAGAGACATTGAGTCCGAAATAATATTTTCTAATGTAGTTTTAAATCACTTTGTATTGACATTGCTTTTGTTAATATTATATCTTAATCTGTTGAAAACGTAATCCAGAGACATAAAGGATGAAATCCTTGCTCTTTTGAAATCAGAGGTAACACTCCCATTGACTTCATGAGGGTGCAGTTTCACTCCTAGAGTTTGGATACATGTTAGTAACATATTTGCAGATTTAATTTATACACTGCATTATGAGTTTGTTTTAGATAAATGTAATTGGTGTAAAGTTGTGTTTAAAGTAATAGTTGTGTGTCTTTGTTTTTACTTTTGGTCTTTTAGTTTCCAGCGTGTTGTCCTTTTTGGTTTTGTTTTATTGCTTTTTCTTTAATTTTGCTTACCAGAGCCAAAGCCTTAGTAGAAGAACAACGCCTTTTGTTCCTAGGGTTCAGGTAAAGGCTTCGTCTGCCTGATAGAAACTAAAGTTGTGTTTTTCTTTCTTTTGTTTGTTTTGGAAAATGCATAGTAGGAAAACGTTATATTTTAGTCTGTTTTCCCATTTATTGTGTTGCTTCAAACCATATTAACAAGTTTCATATCATTGTGTGAGCAGCTTGTAAAGTTTTGCATGGGGATTCAAAGTATTAAATTAAAATTTAAAGAGACAACTTTGTTTTACTATTTACTTGATATATCATTAAATTCATGCAGGTTTTAGTAGTAATAATCATCATGTAACTCCATACATGCATATATATGTATATTGTATGAGTAGTAAATAATCTTGTACTGTTGATGCCTGATCTCATTTTACTAAGGTTGCTGTCTCTTTAAATCATTCATTATCATTATTTAACGTGTCCTTTTTTTGCATTTTCCAAGTAATAGTAGCACCTTGAGTAGAAGATTGGCAAATACATTTGTACCTTGTCTAAAGAAACAAATTTGTATATTTTATACCCAGTGCTCACATTGAAAAGTATGTTGAGTTAGCCAAAGCTTGCTGAACTTCAAAAATGATTTTTGTCTGCCACTGAATTTATTTAACTTGACAGATCTATTTGGGTACAAGTTGTTTGCCTTTTTTCATTAGGAAACCCTTAAGGTACTGTAGATTAATGCATATGTAGGTTGTACTTATATGTTACAATGCTTACTTTGCTTTGCTGCATGTTTTTCAGTTTTGTGTGTGTAGATTATTACCTGCTTTATTACCAAATATTTTTACAGTAATGTTAATCTTTTATGTAAGCGTTGTGTGAATTTTGATTATTTTCCTCAATCACTGATCAAAGAAATGAACAGTCCTAAATGTTGACACTAAAGATATTTAATTATCATGTAGAAATGAAAAACTGAAAATATTAATTTGGAAGGAAATAAATATGAGACAACGGAAGATGGGTTTATTTGGGACTAAGGTTCATTAAGTAAAGTCTACTGTTTGGATAATATTTCTGTAAAGTGGTATAAATTGGGAATAAAAATGGACAGGATAAATTGAGATTAAAAGACTAAAAACCTTGATGATAATATTAAAAATAATTATTCTTTCTATATGCTACCTACATGTACTGGGTATCTACTAAGAACTTCAGTGCATATCTTTTATTATGTGACTACCTGAGAATACTTTTTTCTGATAGTGATAATTAAAATTAAAGAAAAAATACAGACTCAAACACAAATTGTTAGGAGGTCATACAAGGCAGTACTGGCCACTGTCATATTTATCATTTAGGTAGCTCATTTATGTTTTAATCTGATATATTTTCAAAAGTATGAAATAATCTGACAATTCAGTGTTCAAATGCAAAAGCAAGTCAGCCTAAATGCTGTGTTTTTAATGCAGTATTGTAATAAGTGACACATGGTATCTCTACAACTTTATTGAAATTGCTTACAACAAACACGATAGAAAGCTTACTAATGCTGTTAACAAGGTATTTTTCATTTAAAAAACATAATTTTATTTGATTAAATGATCATGTTAGTAATTATTAAGAGAATAAAATGATTATAACGTAGAATGCAGAGTATATGGCTAATGACAAAAGTCCAGAAGAGCCTCCCATACTGATTATTAATTATGGTATCCCCACAATGTCCATGAAGCCTTTATGGAACCTTCTGCACAGTTTTTGTAGAGAGTAATTCTAGTCAAAGAACCAGAGGAAGCTTGTCACCATTCCTAGGGAATGCTACCTTGTAGTGTTGACTACATCCTGAGTAGCGTGAAGCAAAACTCAGGCCTCCTATTATGCCCATATTGAGTTGAGAAGATAGGTGGCATTGCACGAATTAATCTAAAGGTACATATATACTGTAAAAAATGGGGTAGTGTAGAGGTACCCATGGTATTGTGAATGAGCTAGTTCCTGTACTAGGAGCAATCAGGCCACAACACCAAGGGCTAATAATATAATCTAAGAAGCAGGTTATATTAGCTTGCTCAGAGTTCCATGCTGCCAGAGATAGACTGTCTGATATCTGAGCTTGCTTGTTTAAAGCTAGCTCTATTTTTTCTACACTCAAGTTCAGGCTGCAGTTTAGATTGTCTGCGGACATCAGCCACATCTTATTTTAATCTCTGTTTGCTTGATCAGTTTGAAGAGGCAGCGCACAGTCTTACTTCTTACTTTGCTTATATCTTGCTTATACCAAAAGTGCAGTTTGAACCTGAACAACGGGGTGGGGGGGGGGGGGGGGTGGTGTCCCTGATTACTCCATCAAGTTGCCTCACTGTTCCTTCCCTTGCTATCTTCTGAGTCTTCAGACATTTATCTTTGAACATTATTAAGTTCAAAACAACCAGATTTTTTGTTGTATTTATTTTTTATTGCAATAAATACAATCAGTTTCATGGTTGCCTTTGCTTTGTACTTTCTTCCTTGATTTCAGCTGGTTGTACAGTTCTTGGAAAAGTACAAAATTATCCTGAACTCTGACCTATTCATAATTTCATGGTTCAGGTGAAGATCAGCCCAGTTCAGGTGAACAGGATTCTAACTTATGAGGAATATAAGTTATGTATAAGTTATACAGCATGGCAGTGCTTTCCTGGAATATTATATAGTCTTAAATATTCCTCATATTCATTTAGGCTGGCAGCCAGAATTGTCTTTGAACTCCTGTTTTTCTTGAGCTCACATTGTCTAGTATCACTTATGTTTTGGTTGACATATGTCAACAGATTTAACCAAGTATAAAATGCTACACGGTGCCTATATGAACCTGTTTAAGAAGGCATTTTACTTATGTCATACTTATAAGCAGCCTCAATAATTCCATAATTTCCTAGCAGTTATGCCTGAGTAAAATCAAATGTGCACAAGATGGGCATTAATCTTAATGGCTTTTTGTGTGAGTAAATTTCCAGAAGACAAATTTCATGTCTGCACTGTTACAAAGCACATGTCTATCTCCAAGTAAATCTTGTAACATCTGTGCTCACAACAGTTTTAATTCCTACCATTCTACTGTATATATAGAAAGGAAATATAGTTTATGCAGCTTACCCCATGAAGTTGAACTTTCTGTTTCAGCATCCCAATATGCTTGCTCAACCTTGAGTGATGGGTCTATCCTTTGTTACTTAACAGCCTCCTCCCATATTGTTCCCAGGGGCCCAGAAAACAGCCAAACAGTATTAATTAAGTTTGTACTAGACTGGGCGTGTCTACATGTGCAATTAAGTCGAAGCAGTATAGTCTGGCACTTATCACACTAGTGTTTATTGCTTCCCAGGCACCATGTTTACATGTGTAAGCAGTTGTGCAGCACACTGAACCCTGGCAGAACAGTCCCAGCTGGCAGGGAACCTGGGGGGGTCAGTTTGCCAGCCTGCAGCTGCTCTGATCCAGCTCAATGTGCTGCACAGAGGCTGGACGGGGTACGAGGGTGCTTCAGCATGGGGCTAGCTGGCAGGCAGCCCCCACACTGAAGCACCCTGTACACATGTGCTGCTGTGGAATAAAAAAAATGCTGGAGCAGGATAGTACTTGTATTTACTGAGTTAATTAGTATTTACTAGTTGCATTTACTATTTAATTAGTAACTAACCCTGAAGCAGGATAGTACATGTATTTGCTGAGTTAATTAGTTTACTCCTGCTTAATTGCCCTGCAAGTGTACACGTGAGACATTTACTGCAGACCTAATTAGTCAATTCCACAGTAAACGTCTCATGTAGATACACCCACTCGGTAGGTATCACTTCATAGGTTAATGTTTAAGAGTAGCCAAAACTCATCCTGGCTACACCAGTGAAGTGACATCAGTATATATAGAAACTTAATCTGAATAAGATTTTGATTATTTTATTTCTTTTTTTAAAAATCAAACAAACTAAATATCCTTTTGAGTCACCATTTGCTTGAGAATGACCTAAAACAGAAATGAAAGCATTATTTTAGTTGTAAGACATTATGTGTTTCAAACAAAAGACACATTTATTCCAGAATAATGTACCTCAAATTTTACTCTGCAATAAATTTACTACATTGTAAGGTACAGTCTTATGACCAGGGATCCTGGTTTTCTCTGTTTAAAAATTACAGATTCTCTGATAACACCACTACTGCAAATTCTCTGATTAAAAAACCTAAAATCCGCATTTTCCTGTTGTTAAACTGAAACACCTCTCTCTATATAGGTATCACTTGAACACAATGCTTTATTGATATATTTATCACTTGATAAATATTGATCAATTTATTAATTGGTACATTTTATTGGCATACAAAAACAATGTTTTGTTGGTATATTTACACTTTTAAAACAATTTGGAAGCCTACCACTGCTTCAATCACTATAATAAAATAAACTCTAAATACCTATACATTTTAGTATTTGATTTCGGGTTTTTATCATGGAAAATCAGAGCTACCTCTGCTGCCTCCACTCACCAGGATGTGGGTCCCACTGCAGCTGTCCCCCGTTGCTGCTTTGTGGTGCTGAGCAGCCCTGATACACCAGTACCCTGCCCCTGCCTATGCTGTTTCCCCTCACTCCCAAGCCACAGCCCCCTTCAACCCTACCAGTGCCCCTCATCCAGGACCCACAGCCTCCCAGGCCCTGCTGGTGCATTTCACTCCCAACCCATAGCTTCCTAGCCCTGTCAGTGCCCCTCACTCCTGATCCCCAGCCCTCCAGCTCTGCTGGTGCCCCTCACTTCTGAACAACAGCCCCCTGGTCCTGCCAGTGCCCCTCACTCCTGACCTGCAGGCCCCTACCCCCAGCCCTCCCCAGTGTGAGGAAGGGAGTGGGTGTGTGGGGAATGTGTGGGGGGACAAACAGTGCAGTGGGGGGACATGTGCCTCCCCAAGATTTCTGCGCCCACAGTGGGGTGTGGGGCTGCAGCTGAGCCAGACCAGCTCCAAGCAGGAGCTGCCTCTGCAGCCCAGCAGATGGAACCCAGCACTGGAGGGAGTGCTGTGCTGCCATGATGAGG